TTTTTTTTTTGACAGGGCTTCACTATGTAATCCAGGATAGCCTCAAACTCTCAGTGATCCTCTTGCCTCGGCTTCTCAGGTGCCTCAATCACAGGTGGGCACCACCATGCCTGGCCCTAATGAAGTCTTATTCCTGTCCCAGCTTCTCCTCATCCTCCGTGTTACGGAATAGTGGAGAAACAAGTAGGGAAATGGTTCCTTGTTAAGAAAAGCTACCGGGCTCACAAAGGTCAAATTTAAGTAAGGCATGATTCCACCAGTGAGTTTCTTAGGGGCAGGTGTGGGGCAGTGTTAGTTACGTTTCTCTCATCGCTGAGACAAAATATCCGACGCCCAAAGCTACAAGGGAAGGGGTTCATTTGGCTCACATTCAGTTTGTAGAGGTTTCAGTCCAACATCAGCTGACTCCGAGGCTGGGATGGCAAAGAAGCATCACAGAAACAACATGGTGTGCACAAGGCAGCAAAGGCAGCGAGAGGGTTTAACAGCATCTTTCTGCCCTTTTTATCTTACTCAGACTACCAGGGATTAAGGTGGGGGGGGCCAAACCAGTCACTCACGTGTAGTTGTTTAGTAATCGCACCCCTCTGATCCTAGCATCACACATTCCAGGTTCAGCTACCTTTGACCAAATGGGGCTGCGGGGGGACACCCAGACCCAAACCATAACAGGCAAGATGTAAGAGTGGAGAAAAAGAGTCAATGGGAGAGGTGTGACTGGTCCATTGTCTTTAACAATGAAAAATAGAGCTCGTGCGACAGGGAAAATGTTCAAGATACCTAGAGTGCGTGTATACTGTCCTCTTCCTTTCTCATTCTTGGACAGAGCAAGGGGTGCTATGCACATCTCTCGAGTTTGACAGTGCCTTACAGACATGTGAACACTAGCCTTTTGCCTAAGGTTTCTGAAGGTGAGATTTTCACTGGCTCTCCCATGGCTGGGATATGCAAAGGAGAGTAGGGCTGTTTTTAAGGATGTCAAAAATGCTGTACCTTTAATCCCAGGGCCCTGAGCCCTCAGAGAATCCAAAGACCCCAGCAGTTGCTGTGGCTTTGAATAATAGAGAAGACAGGAAAGCTGGCAGGACAGGAAGCCTGGGCTTGTCCTGAAGGCCACTAAGAATATAAAAAACTAGAGGTTGGACATTTCTCTCTTTATTCCAAGATAGCAGGCAACTGGCTTAGCTTGCTCTGGGAGAAGGAAAGAGATGTGAAAAAGATATGGAATTAGAAATTTTATTTTGGAATTAGAATTTTAAATGGGGCTGTCAGTTCCTCAAAATGTTAACCACAGAAGTCCAGTATGACCCAGTATTCTACTCTTAAGCACATGTGCCTAAGAAAAATGAAAATATGTCTACACAAATGTTTAAGGCAGCTTTACTCACAATAGCTAAAAAGTAGAAACAACCCAAAGGTCCAGAAGTTGATGAATGAGCAAAGAAAATATAGTATGTTTGTGCAATGGAATATAATTCAGCCTTAGAAAGGAACAGGTAGGGTATGACTTGGCTGAACCTTGAAAACATTAAGCTACATGAAAAAGTCACAGAACCCCACATATTATGTAGTTCCATGTATATGAAATGGCCAGAATAGGTTAATCCACAGAAACAGAAAATAACTGATGCTTGCTTAAGACTGGAAAGTATGAGAGAAGTATGTATGAGGAAATTGCTTAAAGGGTGTAGGTTTCATTTTGGAAAGAAAATGTTTAAAAATTGATGGTAGTATTAGTCATGCCACTGTGTGCATACCATTTAAATGGATGAACTTCATGGTATGGGAATTATACCCCCAAATCTGTTAGAAAACATGGGACTAGACTGAGTGACCTGCAAATTGTGAAACTGGACTTTGATATAATGAGGGAATGAGGATCACACACTACCTAACGGGGGGTTGACAGAATGCTATTGGTGACAGTTACTAGAAAAAGAAAACATTTCAATACACTGAGTCTCCTCAATCAAACTGGTGACATGAGAATGGGCAGGACCTAAAACTGTCAGAAACAAGGCAACACGAGGCAATTTCCTTGTTCACCTCTTCTGGTTCACAGACTGTCTTTCTCCCTCAGCTTGTCACTGCATAACAAAGAGCTGAAGAAAGAATCAGATGAGAAAGGAAAACAGGCCTAGAGTCCTGGTCTTGCTTCCAGTCTCTTCTCCAGGCTGGTTGGTGGACCCAACCTCAGGTGTGCCTGTGGATACACAGGCATCTTTTCTCAAGTGAGTCCCTGTTACGTCAGACAACTCTAAGAGTAGAGAGGGGAAGCCCCTGAGACCCACTACGGTGTGCTGATCCATGGCTGACCTCATTTGTAGGATAACAGTGAAAAGGACAACATAGACCTAAGGGACACCCTGAGCTCTTCCTCAAGTCCTTTCTCTTCCCTGGTTCTGGCTCAGGGAGCCCAGAGGGAGACAAAACTGTTGGACCCTGTGCTGGATTAGCTAATGGTCAACTTGGAACACCCAGCTGAACTGAGTCAACGTGGTTCTGGACATTCTCAGGTGGAAGACCCATCTGAGGACTGTTGCCAGTGTCATAGAAAGAGCTGGAGGGGAAGATTGCATATTGTTGATTCTCTTGGAGAACTTTGCTGTGGCTGGTTTTCCTCATACAAACTCAGCTGTTCTCATTGTCAGAGGAGCTAGAGTCCTTGCTTTTGTTGGGAATGGCTACTGTTCTCATCAGGGGAGCACTGGTCTTCACCTTGAGTGTCTCTTCTTGGCTCCAGTGCAGATCCCTCAGCCGTTTGTAAAAATCCTTCACCCTACTGACGCAGACTTTCTAGCTTCCACCACTGTCCTTTAGGCCTTCTCAGCGCAGATCCTCGATCTGGACTTGCATGAGGTGTTGCCATGGGCTCTAGGCCTCTGGCTGGACTTGTGGAGGACACTGCCTTGGGCTCTAGGCCCCAGCTGGACTTGTGTGGGACATTGCTGTGGGATCCCGGCCCTCGGCTGGATTCTTTGGGTCTCTAGCATGTGGATAGATCTCTTATATTCCTCCACATTTGATTTTTTGCATAAATATTATAAAATAATCCTGTAAAC